AGCTCTAGGACCAGGCAAGCTCATGGACAAGGCAAGCTCCTGGACCAAAATAGATCCTGTACCAGGATAGCTCCTGGACCAGGCAAGCTCGTGGACCAGGCACACTCCTGGACCATGCAAGCTTCTAGACCACGCAAGCTCCTGGACCAGGCAAGCTTCTGGACCAGGCAAGCTCTTGGACCAGGCAAGCTCCTAGACAAGGCAAGCTCCTAGACCAGGCAAGCTCCTGGACCACGCAAGCTCCTCGACCACGCAAGCTCTTGGACCAGGCACGCTCCTGGACCAGGCAAGGTCCTAGACTAGGCAAGCTGTTGGACCAGGCAAGCTCCTAGACGTGGCAAGCTCCTGGACTAGGCAAGCTCCTGGACCACGCAAGCTCCTGGACCACGCAAGCTCTTGGACCAGGCATGCTCCTGGACCAGGAAAGCTCTTGGACCAGGAAGGCTTCTGGACCAAGCAAGCTCTTGGACCAGGCAAGCTCCTGGACCAAGCTAGCTCTTGGACTAGTCAAGATCCTGGACAAGGCACGTTCGTGAACCATGCACGCTCCTGGACTAGGCAATCTCTTGGACTAGGCAGGCTCGTGGACCAGGCAAGCTCCTGGACCAGGCAATCTCCTGGACTAGGCAAGCTCCTTGACCACGCAAGCTCCTGGAGCAAGCAAGCTCCTGGACCAGGCAGGCTTCTGGACCAAGCAAGCTCTTGGACTTATTAAGCTCCTGGACCACGCAATCTCCTTGACCAGGCAAGCTCTTGGACCAGGCAGGCTTCAGGACCAAGCAAGCCCTTGGACCAGGCAAGCTCCTGGACCAGGCAAGCTCTTGGACCAGGCACGCTCGTGGACCATGCACGCTCTTGGACCAGGCAAGATCTTGGACCAGGAAGGCTCTTTGACCAGGCAAGCTCCTGGACCTGGCAAGCTCCTGGACCAGGCAAGCTCCTGGACCAGGCAAGCTCCTGGACCAAGCACGCTTTTGGACCAGGAACGCTCTTGGACCAGGCAAGCTCGTGGATCAGCCTCGCTCCTGGACCACGAAAGCTCCTGGACCAGGCAAGTTCCTGGACCAGGCAAGCTCTTGGACTTGGAAAGCTCGTGGACCAGGCAAGCTCCTGGACCAGGCAAGCTAACGGACCAAGAAAGCTCCTGGACAAGGCTAGCTCCTGGACCAGGCACGCTCGTGGAAAAAGCAAGCTCGTGGACCTGGCAAGCTCCTTGACTAGGCAAGCTCCTGGACCAGGATAGCTCCAGGACCAGGCAAGCTCTTGGACCAGGCACGCTCCTGGACCATAGCGCTCGTCGGGCGGCGCTAGGGCGGCGCGTGGGCGGCGCTAGGGCGGCGCGTGGGCGGCGCGTTGGGTAGCGCGACGGGCGGCGGTAGCGCGGGCAGCGGGCAGCGCGACGGGCGGCGCGTTGGGCAGCGCGACGGGCGGCGCTAGGGCGGCTGCACGGGCAGCGCGACGGGCTGCGCTAGGGCGGCGCGTTGGGCGGCGCTAGGGCTGCGCGTCGGGCAGCGCGTCGAGCGGCGCTAGGCTGGCGCGTCGAGCGGCGCTAGAGCGGCGCTAGGGCAGCGCGTCGGGCAGCGCTGTGGGCGGCGCGTCGGGCGGCTAGCGCTAGGGCGTCGGGCAGCGCTGTGAGCAGGCCGCGGAGGGGCGCTAGGGCTCTAGGGGCGGCGCTCACGTTCGAGGGCGGGCGGTGCGCTAGCGGCTAGGGCAGAAAAAAAAAACGTTTCGAGGTGGTGGGCCCTAAGCACATGTCCCACAGGGGAACCTGCTCGATACCATGAGAAGAAGTGAACGAGAATGAATGAACTATGAATGAAGTGAGTACAAATATGAATACCTAATTGGGTTGTACCCCCTATGGGATACCCCACTATAGCCTACACAAATAAGTAAGCTATAATGTTCTGACAGCATTGGCCAGGTCAGTCAGTATCGGAACTTAAAATGCAAATGCCAGGGAGAACGCAAGCGCTCATATCTCGCATAGTACACGGAATCAAGTGGTCTCACTCAAATAGAAAGTAGGAAATATATTAATCTAGTGAACGTAAGGGTTTGAAAGGTAACTAACGCACATGTGTAGAGAATATGGTGCATCAGCCAATCTGGCCGGCATTTCGCACTTATAGTGCAAGTAGGGCCAAGGAGAACGGAAACGCTTATTTCTCAAAAAGTAAAGGGAATCTAGCGGTCTCACTCGATCAGACAGTGGGAAATATATAAATCTAGTGAGCTAATAAGGTTCGAAAGGAATCGAATGCATATGTATATGGAAAATGGTGCATTGGCCAGGTCGGTCAGTAGGGGAACTTAGAGTGCAGATGCCTTGGAGAACGGAAGCGCTCAGATCTCGCATAGTACACGGAATCTAGTGGTCTCACTCAAAAAGAAGGTAGGAAATATATTCATCTAGTGAACCTAAGGGTTTGAAAGGTAACTAACGCACATGTGTAGAGAAAATGGTGCATCGGCCAGTCTGGCCGGCATTTCGCACTTATAGTGCAAGTAGGGCCAGGGAGAACGGAAACGCTTATTTCTCAAAAAGTAAAGGAAATCTAGCCGTCTCACTCGATCAGAAGGTGGGAAATATATAAATCTAGTGAGCTAATATGGTTCAAAAGGTATCTAATGCACATTTATATGGAAAATAGTGCATTGGCCAGGTCGGTCAGTATGGGAACTTAAAATGCAAATGCCAGGGAGAACAGAAGCACTCAGATCTCGCATAGTACACAGAATCTAGTGGTCTCACTCAAATAAAAGGAAGGAAATATATTCATCTAGTGAACGTAAGGGTTTGAAAGGTAACTAACACACATGTGTAGAGAAAATGGTGCATCGGCCAGTCTGGCCGGCATTTCGCACTTATAGTGCAAGTAGGGCCAAGGAGAACGGAGACGCTCATTTCTCAAAAATTAAAGGGAATCAAGCGGTCTCACCCGATCAAAAGGTGGGAAATATATAAATCTAGTGAGCTAATAAGGTTCAAAAGGAATCTAATGCATATGTATATGGAAAATGGTGCATTGGCCATGTCGGCCAGTATGGGAACTTAAAATGCAAATGCCAGGGAGAACGGAAGCGCTCAGATCTCGCGTAGTACACGGAATCTAGTGGTCTCACTCAAATAGAAGGTAGGAAATATATTCATCTAGTGAACGTAAGGGTTTGAAAGGTAACTAACGCACATGTGTAGAGAAAATGGTGCATCGGCCAGTCTGGCCGGCATTTCGCACTTATAGTGCAAGTAGGGCCAAGGAGAACGGAGACGCTCATTTCTCAAAAATTAAAGGGAATCTAGCGGTCTCACCCGATCAAAAGGTGGGAAATATATAAATCTAGTGAGCTAATAAGGTTCGAAAGGAATCTAATGCATATGTATATGGAAAATGGTGCATTGGCCAGGTCGGTTAGTATGGGAACTTAGAGTGCAAATGCCAGAAGAACGGAACCGCTCAGATCTCGCATAGTACACGAAATCTAGTGGTCTCACTCAAATAGAATGTAGGAAATATATTCATCTAGTGAACGTAAGGGTTTGAAAGGTAGCTAACGCATATGTGTAGAGAAAATGGTGCATCGGCCAGTCTGGCCAGCATTTCGCACTTATAGTGCAAGTAGGGCCAAGGAGAACAGAGACGCTCATTTCTAAAAAATTAAAGGGAATCTAGCGGTCTCACTCGATCAGAAGGTGGGAAATATATAAGTCTAGTGAGCTAATAAGGTTCGAAAGGAATCTAATGCATATGTATATGGAAAATGGTGCATTGGCCAGGTCGGTCAGTATGGGAACTTAGAGTGCAAATGCCTGGGAGAATGGAACCGCCCAGATCTCGCATAGTACACGGAATCTAGTGGTCTCACTCATATATAAGGTAGGAAATATATTTATCGAGTGAACGTAAGGGGGTTTGAAAGGTAACTAACGTACATGTGTAGAGAAAATGGTGCATCGGCCAGTCTGGCCGGCATTTCGCACTTATAGTGCAAGTGGGGCCAGGGAGAACGGAAACGCTCGTTTCTCAAAAAGTAGAGGGAATCTAGCGGTCTCACTCGATCAAAAGGTGGGAAATATATAAATCTAGTCAGCTAAAAAGGTTTGGAAGGTATCGAACGCACATGTATAGAGAAAATGGTGCATTGGCCAGGTCGGTCAGTATGGGAACTTAGAGTGCAAATGCTTGGGAGAACGGAACCGCACAGATCTCGCATAGTACACGGAATCTAGTGGTCTCACTCAAATATAAGGTAGGAAATATATTAAGCGAGTGAACGTAAGGGTTTGAAAGGTAACTAACGCACATGTGTAGAGAAAATGGTGCATCGGCCAGTCTGGCCGGCATTTCGCACTTATAGTGCAAGTGGGGCCAGGGAGAACGGAAACGCTCGTTTCTAAAAAAGTAGAGGGAATCTAGCGGTCTCACTCGATCAAAAGGTGGGAAATATATAAATCTAGTGAGCTGAAAAGGTTTGAAAGGAATCTAATGCATATGTATATGGAAAATGGTGCATTGGCCAGGTCGGTCAGTATGGGAACTTAGAGTGCAAATGCCTGGGAGAACGGAACCGCTCAGATCTCGCATATTACACGGAATCTAGTGGTCTCACTCAAATATAAGGTAGGAAACATATTGATCGAGTGAACATAAGGGTTTGAAAGGTAACTAACGCACATGTGTAGAGAAAATGGTGCATCGGCCAGTCTGGCCGGCATTTCGCACTTATAGTGCAAGTGGGGCCAGGGAGAACGGAAACGCTCGTTTCTAAAAAAGTAGAGGGAATCTAGCGGCCAGTTTCCGTAAGCAAAGTGGGGGAGAACAAGGGGTCACAAGACCAGTCAAGCAAAGCAAAGCAAGCTCAGGGTGGATCACAAAGTCACCACACAGTCCGAGCACAAGAGCAGGGCCAGAGGCCAGTTCACATGCAGGAGTACAGACATATATATAAAACTAGACAAGCAAGAGCAGATATATATATATGTCACAGTACAAGTGAAGTCAAGAGGAGAGCAAGTGAGGCAAGACAGGCACAAGACCCAGCTGGGTGCAAAAGCGCTGATGGTCACAAGGCGCGAGTGCCTTGGTGAACACATCAGCAGTGTTGGCCTCAGAGGCCACGTACGCAAGTCGCAACTGACCACGCTGCTGCAGCTCACGAGCAAGGAAGTAGCGGAGAGCAATGTGCTTCGTTCTGTGCTCCAAGCGCTGCTCTCGACACAAGGCCAGCATGGCCTTGTTGTCTACGTACAGCACTGGAGGAGAACGAGGCGGCTCTCCAAGGTCAGTCAGCAGGTAGGTGAGCCAGCGAAGCTCCTGTGCAGCCATGGCCCCGGCGTGGATCTCAGCCTCACAACTGGAGCCGAGAACCGAAGACGAGCGAGTAGACCGCCACGAGACAGAGCCGGAACCAAGGCTGAAGGTGTAACCCTGTGACGACCGCTGCGTAGCCTGGTCGTCAGCCCAAGAAGCGTCCGCGTGGCCGGTAAGGACCACTGGACTCCGCCCTCCAAGCACAAGCCCCATGCCCGACGTACTGCACAGGTAGCGCAATACCCTCTTCGCTGCAGCCATGTGCTCTGGTCTGTGTCTCCCAGGAGCAACATAGCGTGCAAGAATGCTCAGAGGATATGCAAGGTCAGGTCGTGTGCAGGTCATCAGGTACATGAGGCAGCCAACAAGCTCTGCATACGGACCACTCGACTCTACGGACTCATCCGAAGGCAGAGCTGAGAGTGAGTGGCGAGTAGGCAGAGGAGTGGCCTGAGGCGAGGAGTACGTGAAGCCGAAGCGCTGAAGGACCTGCTGCACCATGTGTGACTGAGTCAAGGTAATGGTGCGGCGTGCTCTGTCCCGAGTGATCTGCAAGCCAAGGTAGCTGCGCAGTTCACCCAGGTCTGTGCACGTGTGTCTCTTCAGCAGCTCGGACTTCACGTAGGCGAGTCCAGCAGTGTCCGCTGTGGCAAAGACCAAGTCGTCGACGTACACGAGGATGTAGAACGGCGGCAGGGAAGTGTCGGTGCGAAGAAACAGCGACGGGTCAGCAGTAGAAGGAGCAAACCCAAGAGCCGCAAGCGTAGTCCTCAGTGTGTCGTGCCACTCACGCGGTGCCTGGCGGAGACCGTAGACTGGCCGTCGGAGGCTCCACTGGGTGCCAGGAGGGAAAGTCCCAGTGAAGCCAGGTGGTCGGCGCAGCCAGATCTCCTCGTGCAGACTACCCTGCAGGAACGCAGTGCTGAAGTCGAGAGAGTGAAGCTCGTAGTCGCGCTGAGCGGCTATGTGCAGCAGCACCCGAAGAGTGGTCATCTTCGGGGTGGGAGAGAAGGTCTGAAAGTAGTCAACTCCCTGCCGCTGACTGAAGCCACGAGCAACGTAGCGCGCCTTGAAGACAGGTGGAGAGCCCGGCGGCCGCTTCACCCGGAAGATCCACATGCCACTGACGATGTTCGCCCCAGGAGGGGGAACTGCGTCAACGTAGGTGCCTGTGGACTTCCAGGAAGCCATCTCTGCATCCATAGCTGCCTGCCACTGAGAGGAGTAGGGACCCTCTACGGCCTCCGCGTAAGAACGCGGAGTCGGGATGTCTAGTGCATCCGGGTCTCCCTCAGGGGCAAGCAGTACAGACGCGAGATGAGGTGAAGCAGCCGCTAGACACTGTAACTCCTCCTGTCTGTCCTCTAGGACGTCCGTGCCAAGAGCACACTCACCCCCGACGGACGGAGGACAGACAGACGCAGACTCAGCAACAAGACCAGCAGCGTAGTCGAGACGACAGCGAGCAGCAAAGTCAACGAGCTCAGCGACTAGAGCAGACGCAGCAGTGGACTCAAAAGAGGGGTCAGTGACGACAGTAGCAAGCAGACGCGTGACAGTAGGACTGGCAGCGCGAAGAGAGTCCGACTCAGGGTCGGCAAGCGCAGGAAGAGAGGACTCAGGAGGCGAAGGCAAAGGGGCACGCAGAGGAGCAGTGGACGGACGCAGAGACATCCGGTGCGTGCCAGGGACAGGAGGAGGATGCTGACGCGAACCGCGACCACTAGCGCGAGCAGCACGAACAGGCGACGCGGGACGAGACGCAGGCTCACGACGCTCAGCAAGACCTCCAGTAGGACCAGTGTAAGGAGAGGGAGCAGGCAGAGGAGAGGAAGGCTCCAACAGTGACTGCGACTGGACAGGCTGTGGACACTCTACCGAAGGAGAAAGACCAAGAACCTGCTGTAGGAGCGGAACGAAGTACGGCCGAGGCCGCGCGGCAGCTCCAGACTCAGCAGGGACAGCACCAGCACCCTCAGGGACAGCACCAGCGCCACCCACACCTCCAGCGGCAGGACCAACAGCAGTAGGCTCAGCACCAACGCCCTCAGTACCTCCAGCTCCAGGAGGACCCGCAGGTCCAGCAGCTCCGGGACCGGCAGCACCCGCACCCTCGACGGTCGAAGAAGCTCCAGCTCCAGCTCCAGCAGCACCTCCAGACTCAGCAGCACGCCTCCAGCGGCGAGCGTACCACTCGCGCAGCTCCTGTGGAGAGAGGGGTGTGATAATAAGCGAACAGGAATGAATGAACTAGCAGTGAAATGAGTACAAGTAGGAAACCCTAGAATTGTGTACCCCCTATAGGCTAACCCACTGTAGCCTACACAAGCATAACATATATAATGTTTGACACACCCCCATAGGCAAAGTGGGGGAGAACAAGGGGTCACAAGACCAGTCAAGCAAAGCAAAGCAAGCTCAGGGTGGATCACAAAGTCACCACACAGTCCGAGCACAAGAGCAGGGCTAGAGGCCAGTTCACATGCAGGAGTACAGAAATATATATAAAACTAGACAAGCAAAAGCAGGTATACATATATGTCACAGTACAAGTGAAGTCAAGAGGAGAGCAAGTGAGGCAAGACAGGCACAAGACCCAGCTGGGTGCAAAAGCACTGATGGTCACAAGGCGCGGGTGCCTTGGTGAACACATCAGCAGTGTTGGCCTCAGAGGCCACGTACGCAAGTCGCAACTGACCACGCTGCTGCAGCTCACGAGCAAAAAAGTAGCGGAGAGCAATGTGCTTCGTTCTGTGCTCCAAGCGCTGCTCTCGACACAAGGCCAGCATGGCCTTGTTGTCTACGTACAGCACTGGAGGAGAACGAGGCGGCTCTCCAAGGTCAGTCAGCAGGTAGGTGAGCCAGCGAAGCTCCTGTGCAGCCATGGCCCCGGCGTAGATCTCAGCCTCACAACTGGAGCCGAGAACCGAAGACGAGCGAGTAGACCGCCACGAGACAGAGCCGGAACCAAGGCTGAAGGTGTAACCCTGTGACGACCGCTGCGTAGTCTGGTCGTCAGCCCAAGAAGCGTCCGCGTGGCCGGTAAGGACCACTGGACTCCGCCCTCCAAGCACAAGCCCCATGCCCGACGTACTGCACAGGTAGCGCAATACCCTCTTCGCTGCAGCCATGTGCTCTGGTCTGTGTCTCCCAGGAGCAACATAGCGTGCAAGAATGCTCAGAGGATATGCAAGGTCAGGTCGTGTGCAGGTCATCAGGTACATGAGGCAGCCAACAAGCTCTGCATACGGACCACTCGACTCTACGGACTCATCCGAAGGCAGAGCTGAGAGTGAGTGGCGAGTAGGCAGAGGAGTGGCCTGAGGCGAGGAGTACGTGAAGCCGAAGCGCTGAAGGACCTGCTGCACCATGTGTGACTGAGTCAAGGTAATGGTGCGGCGTGCTCTGTCCCGAGTGATCTGCAAGCCAAGGTAGCTGCGCAGTTCACCCAGGTCTGTGCACGTGTGTCTCTTCAGCAGTTCGGACTTCACGTAGGCGAGTCCAGCAGTGTCCGCTGTGGCAAAGACCAAGTCGTCGACGTACACGAGGATGTAGAACGGCGGCAGTGAAGTGTCGGTGCGCAGAAACAGCGACGGGTCAGCAGTAGAAGGAGCAAACCCAAGAGCCGCAAGCGTAGTCCTCAGTGTGTCGTGCCACTCACGCGGTGCCTGGCGGAGACCGTAGACTGGCCGTCGGAGGCTCCACTGGGTGCCAGGAGGGAAAGTCCCAGTGAAGCCAGGTGGACGGCGCAGCCAGATCTCCTCGTGCAGGCTACCCTGCAGGAACGCAGTGCTGAAGTCGAGAGAGTGAAGCTCGTAGTCGCGCTGAGCGGCTATGTGCAGCAGCACCCGAAGAGTGGTCATCTTCGGGGTGGGAGAGAAGGTCTGAAAGTAGTCAACTCCCTGCCGCTGACTGAAGCCACGAGCAACGTACCGCGCCTTGAAGACAGGTGGAGAGCCCGGCGGCCGCTTCACCCGGAAGATCCACATGCCACTGACGATGTTCGCCCCAGGAGGGGGAACTGCGTCAACGTAGGTGCCTGTGGACTTCCAGGAAGCCATCTCTGCATCGATAGCTGCCTGCCACTGAGAGGAGTAGGGACCCTCTACGGCCTCCGCGTAAGAACGCGGAGTCGGGATGTCTAGTGCATCCGGGTCTCCCTCAGGGGCAAGCAGTACAGACGCGAGATGAGGTGAAGCAGCCGCTAGACACTGTAACTCCTCCTGTCTGTCCTCTAGGACGTCCGTGCCAAGAGCACACTCACCCCCGACGGACGGAGGACAGACAGACGCAGACTCAGCAACAAGACCAGCAGCGTAGTCGAGACGACAGCGAGCAGCAAAGTCAACGAGCTCAGCGACTAGAGCAGACGCAGCAGCAGGAGAAACCCCAGGCTCAGCAGCTCTAGACGCAGCACCCCCAGGCTCCGCACTCTCCGCAGTAGCACCCGCAGGCCCAGTACCCCCAGCAGTAGTATCCCTAGGCTCAGCACCCCCGCGCACAGCACCCCCAGAGTCAGCACCCCCAGGCTCAGCACCCCCGCGCACAGCACCCCCAGAGTCAGCACCCCCAGGCTCAGCACCCCCGCGCACAGCACCCCCAGAGTCAGCACCCCCAGGCTCAGCACCCCCGCGCACAGCACCCCCAGAGTCAGCACTCCCAGGCTCAGCACCCGCAGCAGCACCAGAGTCACCTGTAACCTCGACCGGGTCAACGGCGTCTACCTGGGACACACCTGAGGGGGCAGGAACTTGAGGGGGAAGGAGGTCTACCGGGGGGGGAACCGGTACAAGGAAGTCCGGGGGAGGGGGGAGGGAAGGAGTGCGGTAGGGGAAGAGACGGTAGAAGGGGACTGACTCGTCGAACGTGACGTCCTGGGAGGACAGAACACGACGAGAGGAGGGGTGGTAAAACTGCCACCCTGGGGCGTCAGTGGGGAAGCCAAGGAAGACACAAGGAGCAGCACGAGGGGACAGCTTGTCCGCAGACAAGTCGCGAACAAACGCCCGAGATCCCCAGACACGGAACACAGACGCATCGCCAACCTTCCCTGTCCACAGCAAGGCTGGGGACATCGCAGGCCGAGAGACCCGGGGGTGAAGGTTGAGCTGATGCGCCGCGTACCTCACCGCAAACGGCCACAGAAAATGGGGGGCAGCCGCATGCATCATGGACGTACGAGCGACATCCATGACCATGCCAATGCGGCGCTCAGCAATCCCATTTTGCTGTGGTGAGTCCGGAAGCGTGAAGGACTGGCGGATGCCTCGCGCACGACAGTAGGCACGCAGAAGGCCAGAGGAGAACTCTCCGCCTCTGTCCGAGTGCAGACGCAGAACAGGAAAGTCCGAGCCGAAGCTCTTCCTGAGCCGGAGACGAGCCTCGCGGATCCAGTCGATCAGCACCTCAGTGACCTCACCCTTGCTGCGCAAGGGGAGGACTGTGGTGTAACGCGAGTAGTCGTCAACCACCAACAGGAAGTAGCGCTCGTAATCCTGCCCACGGACGGGGGCTGGGCCCCACACATCCATGTGAAGCGTCTGCAGGGGAGCCTCTGTCGGGGGGAAGTGGGAGGAGTGAGGAGTAGCCCGGAGGCGACCCTCGACACAAGGGACACAGGAAGGTCCTGGCCCGGAGGGGAGAGGAGGGAGAGACTAGGGAAGACCAGAGACAAAGACACGGGAAGCCATGCTCCGAAGACGGGGCAAGGAGGGGTGGCCAAGACGGTGGTGCCACAGGAGAGTCTCGTGAGACAGGAGGCGACAAGTACAGGGGGCAGACTCAGGACCAGACCTGGACGCAGCAGCAAACACCTGACCCGACGCTGCTACCTGACCGGACGCGGGGACAGGAGGAGACTCAGTGGTCAGGGTGTAGAGGCTCGACCCCGGCCGACGCGAGAACGTGGCCAGGTGCCGGCCTGTGCGTGCGTCCGTGCAGTGGGTCACCCGCTGACTCGCAGGAGTGAACTGGTGAACCCCCGCATCCTGTAGGTCTGCACCACTCACCAAGTTCGTCGAGAACGAGGGGAGGTACAGGCCAGACAGGGTGCCCGAGGGGGCAGCCGGACACGGGAGGACAGTGGAGAAGTGAGCGAGGAGAGGACCCCCAGAGGGGTCAGCCAGGGAGACTGCAACCGGCCGACCAAGCGGCGTGAGTGTGGTGCGGTCCCGAAAGAAGGAGCGAGAAGCCCCAGAGTCAAGTGTAAAGGTGAGGGAGGCCGAAGCCAACGCGGTACCTGAGAGCGCAGCCTCACCCGCACCTGAGGAAGCAGACTCACTAGCACCGAGAGCAGCAGCCGCACCTGTACCTGGAGCAGGAGACTCACTAGCACCCAGAGCAGCAGCCTCACCAGTAGCTAGAGCAGCAGGTCCTATACCTGGGTCAGGCGGGACGCACAGGTGACCTGCACGGTCAGCACTAGTAGGCCATGCATACATGGCAGTGAGAATAGCATCATAGTCAAGAGCATATATATCTACCCTCTGCCTAAGCAACTCCACCCAGTCGGGAAGCTCAGCCTCGTCGCCAAACACGGTACGCCAGGCGTCGCTCAGACGGGCGAAGCAGCGGGACGGTGTATGACTACGTGTCCCACAAGGCTGACCAGTCCGAGTACCAGTGCGAATCACGTAAGAGCAGCGAACAGCACTAAGAGACCCTTCACTCTGAGCGTACCACTCACGAAGCTGGCGAGGCGTGAGAGACACGCGAGAGGGTCGCGGGAGCTGCATCTGGCCGCCACCACGAGTAGAAGCAGCAGGAGTGGTAGTAGGAGTAGCGTCGCCACCCCTACAGCCCCAACCAGCGTACCACTCACGCAGCTGCTGCGGCGTGAGGGACTCACGCCGGCGTCGCTGGGGCTGCATTTGGCTCCGCAAGTAGAAGCAGGAGCAGGACTAGCAGCAGGGAGGCAAGCAGCCAGGCAAGCCAAAAGGCAGGCAGGCAGGCAAGCAGGCGACGCGCAGCGTGCTAGCAGGGCAAGAGCTCACCAGTGGTGGGAAGAGTAGGTTCGGCGACTCAGCGGCTCAGCAGCTCGGCGGCTCGGCGGCTCGGGCGACTCGGCAGCAACTGCAGCTCAGCAGCTCAGCGACCCGGCGGCTCGGCGGCAGGGCGGCTCGGCTGTGGGGCGGCTCGGCTGCTGCAGGGGAGATGAAGGAGGAGGAGAAGCAGGGGAGGCCACACACCTGCCACCCCTCTGCTGGCCTCTCAGGTCGCCTCGACAGGCGACGGGAAAAGGGGGGGGGTGGGTGGTGGGGGGCCGGTAGGTGCAGCGGGGGGGCCAGCAGGTGCAGTTGCGGGGCCGGTAGAAGGTGACGGCAGGAGCCGTCAGGAGGGGACGGCGGGGCAGTCTGAAAGCCGGGGCGGGGCCGCGTAGAAGCCGGGGCGGGGCCGCGCGAGAGCAGGCGGCGGGGCCGCGAAGGAGCCGGGGCGGGGCCGCGTGAGAGCAGGCGGCGGAGCCGCGTAAGGGCCTGGGCGGGGCCGCGACAAAGCCGTCGGCGGGGCCGCGTGAAAGCCGGGGCGGGGCCGCGTAGAAGCCGGGGCGGGGCCGCGCGAGAGCAGGCGGCGGGGCCGCGAAGGAGCCGGGGCGGGGCCGCGTGAGAGCAGGCGGCGGAGCCGCGTAAGGGCCTGGGCGGGGCCGCGACAAAGCTGTCGGCGGGGCCGCGTGAAAGCCGGGGCGGGGCCGCGTAGAAGCCAGGGCGGGGCCGCGCGAGAGCAGGCGGCGGGGCCGCGAAGGAGCCGGGGCGGGGCCGCGAAGGAGCAGGCGGCGGGGCCGCAACAGAGAGGGCGGCGGGGCCGCGTCAGTGAAGGCGGCGGGGCCGCAGGGGAAATGGCGACCCGAGGGGTCGCTAAAAAAAAAGATCGCGCCTCGGGGGGCGCTTCGGTGGGCCCAAAAACACGGTCCGTAGAAGGACCCGCTCTATACCATGTGAAAATAAGCGAACAGGAATGAATGAACTAGCAGTGAAATGAGTACAAGTAGGAAACCCTAGAATTGTGTACCCCCTATAGGCTAACCCACTGTAGCCTACACAAGCATAACATATATAATGTTTGACACCTACTTGCACTATAAGTGCGAAATGCCGACCAGACTGGCCAATGCACAACTTTCTCTACACATGTGCGTTAGTTACCTTTCAAACCTTTACGTTCACTAGATGAATATATTTCCTACCTTCTATTTGAGTGAGACCACTAGATTCCGTGTACTATGCGAGATCTGAGCGCCTCCGTTCTCCCTGGCATTTGCATTTTAAGTTCCGATATTGACCGACCTGGCCAATGCACCATTTTCTCTATACATGTGTAATAGATACCTTTCAAACCTTTTTAGCTGTCCAGATTTATATATTTCCCACCTTCTGATCGAGTGAGACCGCTAGATTCCCTTTACTTTTTTAGAAATGAGCGTTTTCGTTCTCCCTGGCCCCACTTGCACTATAGGTGCGAAATGCCGGCCAGACTGGCCGATGCACCATTTTCTCTACACATGTGCGTTAGTTATCTTTCAAAACCTTACGTTCACTCGATTAATATATTTGCTACCTTATATTTGAGTGAGACCACTAGATTCCGTGTACTATGCGAGATCTGAGCGGTTCCGTTCTCCCAGGCATTTGCACTCTAAGTTCCCATACTGACCGACCTAGCCAATGCTCCGTTTTCCATATACATATGCATTAGATTCCTTTCGAACCTTATTAGCTCACTAGATTTATATATTTCCCACCTTCTCATCGAGTGAGACTGCTAGATTCAATTTACTTTTTGAGACATGAGCGTTTCCGTTCTCCCTGGCCCCACTTGCACTATAAGTGCGAAATGCCGGCCAGACTGGCCGATGCACCATTTTCTCTACACATGTGAGTTAGTTACCTTTCAAACCCTTACATTAACTCGATTAATATATTTCCTACCTTATATTTGAGTAAGACCACTAGATTCCGTGTACTATGCGAGATCTGAGCGGTTCCGTTCTCCCAGGCATTTGCACTCTAAGTTCCCATACAGACCGACCTGGCCAATGCACCATTTTCCATATACATATGCATTAGATTCCTTTCGAACTTTATTAGCTCACTAGATCTATATATTTCCCACCTTCTGATCGAGTGAGACGGCTAGATTCCCTCTGCTTTTTGAGAAATGAGCGTTTCCGTTCTCCCTGGCCCCACTTGCACTATAAGTGCGAAATGCCGGCCAGACTGGCCGATGCACCATTTTCTCGACACATGTGCGTTAGTTAGTACGGACATGGACGTGGACGCGGACATGGACGTGGACGTGGATGTGGACGTGGACATGGACATGGACGTGGACGTGGACGTGTACGTGGACGTGGACATGGACGTGGACGTGGACGTGGACGTGGTCGTGGACGTGGACGTGGACGTGGACGTGGTCGTGGTCGTGGACGTGGACGTGGACGTGGACGTGGACGTGGACGTGGTCGTGGACGTGGACGTGGACGTGGACGTGGACGTGGTCGTGGACGTGGTCGTGGACGTGGACGTGGACGTGGACGTGGACGTGGACGTGGACGTGGACGTGGACATGGACATGGACGTGGACGTGGACGTGGACATGGACGTGGACGTGGAGATGGACGTGGACGTGGACATGGACGTGGACGGTCGTGGACGTGGACGTGGACGGTCGTGGACGTGGACGTGGACGGTCGTGGACGTGGACGTGGACGGTCGTGGACGTGGACGTGGACGTGGACGTGGACGTGGACATGGACGTGGACGTGGACATGGACGTGGACATTGACATGGACGTGGACATTGACATGGACGTGGTTGTGGACGTGGACGTGGACGTGGACGTAGACGGTCTTGGACGTGGTCGTGGACGTGGACGTGGACGTTAACATGGACGTGGACGTGGACGTGGACCTGGACGTGGACGTGGAGGACTTGGACGTGGACGTGGACGTGACATGGACGTGGAGGACTTGGACGTGGACGTGGACGTGGACATGGACGTGGACGGTCAAGGACGTGGACGTGGACATGGACGTGGACGTGGACATGGACTTGGACGTGGACGTGGACGTGGACCTGGACGTGGACGTGGACGTGGACGTGGACGTGGACATGGACGTGGTCGTGGACGTTGACGTGGACGTGGACGTGGTCATGGACCTCGACGTGGACATGGACGTGGACGTGGACATGGACGTGGACATGGACGTGGACATGGACCTGGACATGGACGTGGACATGGACGTGGACATGGACGTGGAGATGGACGTGGACATGGACGTGGACCTGGACGAGGACGTGGACATGGACGTGGACGTGGACGTGGACGTGGACATGGACGTGGACGTGGCCGAGGACATGGACATGGACATGGACGTGGACGTGGACATGGATGTGGACGTGGAGATGGACGTGGACGTCGACGTGGACGTGGACGTGGACGGTCGTGGATGGTCGTGGACGTGGACGTGGACGTGGACGTGGACGTGGACATGGACGTGGACATGGACGTGGACGTTGACATGGACGTGGACATGGACGTGGACGTGGACGTGGACGTGGACGTCGACATGGACGTGGACGTGGACGTGGACGTGGACGTGGACATGGACGTGGACGTGGACTTCGACGTGGACTTCGACGTGGACGTGGACGTGGACATTGACGTGGACGTGGACGTGGACATGGAAGTGGACGTGGACGTGGACGTGGATGTGGACGTGGACGTGGACATGGACGTGGACGTGGACATGGACGTGGACGTGGACGTGGACGTGGACGTTGTCGTGGACGTGGACGTGGACGTGGACGTGGACGTGGTCGTGGACGTGGACGTGGACGTGGACGTGGACATGGACGTGGACATGGACGTGGAGGACTTGGACGTGGAGGACTTGGACGTGGACATGGACGTGGACGTGGACGTGGACGTGGACATGGACATGGACATGGATGTGGACGTGGACGTGGACGTGGACATGGACGTGGACATGGACGTGGACGTGGACGTGGACATAGACGTGGACGTGGACATGGACGTGGACGTGGACGTGGACGTGGACGTGGACATGGACGTGGAGGTGAACGTGGAGGACTTGGACGTGGACATGGACGTGGACATGGATGTGGACGTGGACATGGACATGGACATGGGTGATGTCAGTGAGGTGTTGATCGACTGGATCCGCGCAGCTCGTCTCCAGCTCAGGGGGGGCTTCGGCTCGGACTTTCCTGTTCTACGTCTGCACTCTGACCGAGGTGGACAGTTCTCCTCTGGCCTTCTGCAAGCCTAATGTCGTGCCCGAGGCATCCGCTAGAGCTTTACGCTTCCGGACTCTCCACAGCAAAATGGGATTGCTGAGCGCCGCATTGGCATGGTCATGGACGTCGCTCGTATGTCCATGATGCATGCGGCTGTCCCCCATTTTCTGTGGCCGTTTGCGGTTCGGTACGCGGCGCATCAGATCAACCTTCACCCCAGGGTCTCTCGGCCGGAGACCTCCCCAGCTCTGCTGTGGACGGGGGAGGTCGGCGATGCGTCTGCGTTCCGTGTCTGGGGATCCCGGGCGTTTGTCCGCGACTTGTCTACGGACAAGCTGTCCCCTCGTGCTGCTCCCTGTGTCTTCCTAGGCTTCCCCCCTGATGCCCTAGGGTGGCAGTTCTACCACCCCTCTTCTCGTCATGTTCTGTCCTCCCAGGACGTCACGTTCAACGAGTCCGTCCCCTTCTACCGCCTCTTCCCCTACCGCACTCCTTCCCTCCCCCCACCACCGCACTTCCTTGTGCCAGGTCCCCCCCCGGTAGACCCCCTTTCCCCTCAGGGTCCTGCCCCTTCAAGTGTGTCCCAGGTAGACGCAGTCGAGCCGGTCGAGGTTGTTGGTGACTCTGGTACTGCTGCGGGTGCTGCGCCTGGGGGTGCTGACTCTGGGGGTGCTGCGCGCGTGGGTGCTGAGTCTGGAGGTGCTGAGCCTGGGGGTGCTGCGACTGGGGGTGTGAGCCTGGGCGTGCTCCGTCGGGAGCTGCCGAGCCAGGGGGTGCTGCGTCTGGAGCTGCTGAGCCTGGAGTTACGGAGCCTGCGGCCACTGGACCTCCCCTTGTGGCGTCTGGCGGTGCGGGGCCAGGAGGTTCTCCGGGTGCTTCGTCTCGGCGGGAGCCACTCGCTCCACAGGAGCTGCGCGAGTGGTTTGCTCGCCGTTGGAGGCGTACTGCTGGAGCTGGAGCTTCTTCGGCCGCTAAGGGTACTAGTGCCGCCGGTCCCGGAGCTGCTGGGCCTTCGGGTCCGCCAAGAGTTGGAGCTGTTGAGGGTGCCGGTGCTAAGATTGCTGCTGTCGTTCCTGACGGTGGTCCAACTGCGGGTGCTGCTGGTGCTGCTGGAGGTCCTACAGCTGGAGGTGCTGTTGGCGCTGGTGCTGTCCCTGCTGTGTCTGGAGTTCCCGCGCGGCCTCGGCCGTACTTCGTTCCGCTCCTGCAGCAGGTTCTTGGTCTTTCTCCTCCTGTAGAGTGTCCACCGCCTGTCCAGTCCCAGTCACGGTTAGAGCCCGCCTCCCCACTTCCTACTCCCTCTCCTTACACTGGTCCTACTGGAGGTCTTGCTGAGCGTCGTGAGCCTGCGTCTTGTCCCGTATTGCCTGTTCGTACTGCTCGCGCTAGTGGTCGCGGTTCGCGTCAGCGTCCTCCTCCTGTCCCTGACACGCACCGGATGTCTCTACGACCGTCCACTGCTCCTCTGCGTGCCCCTTTGCCTTCTCCTCCTGAGTCCTCTCTTCCTGCACTTGCCGACCCTGAGTCGGACTCTCTTCGTGCTGCCAGTCCTACTCTCACGCGTCTCCTTGCTACTGTCGTCACTGACCCCTCCTTTGAGTCTACTGCTGCGTCTGCTCTTGTTGCTGAGCTCGTCGACTTTGCTGCTCGCTGTCGCCTAGACTATGCTGCCAGTCTTGTTGCTGAGTCTGCGTCTGTCTGTCCTCCGTCCGTCGGGGGTGAGTGTGCTCTTGGCACGGACGTCCTTGAGGACAGGCAGGAGGAGTTCTAGTGTTTGGCTGCTGCTTCACCTCATCTCGCGTCCGTACTACTTGCCCCTGAGGGAGACCCGGATGCACTAGACATCCCGACTCCGCGCTCTTACGCGGAGGCCGTAGAGGGTCCCTACTCCTCTCAGTGGCAGGCAGCTATGGATGCAGAGATGGCTTCCTGGAAGTCCACAGGCACCTACGTTGACGCGGTTCCCCCTCCTGGGGCGAACATCGTCAGTGGCATGTGGATCTTCAGGGTGAAGCGGCCGCCGGGCTCTCCACCTGTCTTCAAGGCGCGGTACGTGGCTCGTGGCTTCAGTCAGCGGCAGAGAGTTGACTACTTTCAGACCTTCTCTCCCACCCCGAAGATGACCACTCTTCGGGTGCTGCTGCACATAGCCGCTCAGCGCGACTACGAGCTCCACTCTCTTGACTTCAGCACAGCTTTCTTGCAGGGTAGCCTGCACGAGGAGATCTGGCTGCGCCGTCCACCTGGCTTCACTGGGACTTTCCCCCCTGGCACCCAGTGGAGCCTCCGACGGCCAGTCTACGGTCTCTGCCAAGCACCGCGTGAGTGGTACGACACACTAAGGACTACGCTTGTGGCTCTTGGGTTTGCTCCCTCTACTGCTGACCCGTCGTTGTTTCTGCGCACCGACACTTCTCTGCCGCCGTTCTACATCCTAGTGTACGTCGACGACTTGGTCTTTGCCACAGCTGACACTGCTGGACTCGCCTACGTGAAGTTCGAGCTGCAGAAGAGACACACGTGCACAGACCTGGGTGAACTGCGCAGCTACCTTGGCTTGCAGATCACTCGGGACAGAGCACGCCGCACCATTACCTTGACTTAGTCACACATGGTGCAGCAGGTCCTTCAGCGCTTCGGCTTCACGTACTCCTCGCCTCAGGCCACTCCTCTGTCTACTCGCCACTCGCTCTCAGCTCTGCCTTCGGATGAGTCCGTAGAGTCGAGTGCCAGTACCTCAAGCTTGTTGGCTGCCTCATGTACCTGATGACCTGCACACGACCTGACCTTGCATACCCTCTTAGCATTCTTGCACGCTATGTTGCTCCTGGGAGACACCGACCAGAGCACATGGCTGCAGCGAAGAGGGTGTTGCGCTACTTGTGCAGTACGTCGGGCATGGGGCTAGTGCTTGGAGGGCGGAGTCCAGGGGTCCTCACTGGGCACGCGGACGCTTCTTGGGCTGACGACCAGGCTAGGCAGCGGTCGTCACAGGGTTACACCTTCAGTCTTGGTTCTGGCTCTGTTTCGTGGCAGGCTACTCGCTCGTCGTCTGTTCTCGGCTCCAGTTGTGAGGCTGAGATCTACGCCGGGGCCATGGCTGCTCAGGAGCTTTGCTGGCTCACCTACCTGCTGACTGACCTTGGAGAGCCGCCTCATTCTCCTCCAGTGCTGTACGTAGACAACAAGGCCATGCTGGCCTTGTGTCGAGAGCAGCGCCTAGAGCACAGAACGAAGCACATTGCTCTCCGCTACTTTCTTGCTCGTGAGCTGCAGCAGCGTGGTCAGCTGCGACTTGCGTACGTGGCCTCTGAGGCCAACACTGCTAATGTGATCATCAGCGCTTCTGCACTCAGCTGGGTGTTGTGCCTGTCTTGCCTCACTTGCTCACCTCTTGATCTTGCTTGTACTCTTGCATATATATATACCTACTCTTGCTTGTTTAGCCTTATATATATATGTCTTCTCCTGCATGTGAACTGGCCTTGTGGCCTTGACCTTGTGCTCGGACTGTGTGGTGACTTTGTGATCCACCCTGAGCTTGCTTTGCTTTGCTTTGCTTGACTGGTCTTGTGACCCCTTGTTCTCCCCCACTTTGCCTATGGGGGTGTGTCAGAACATTATAGCTTATGCTTTTGTGTAGGCTGTTGTGAAGTATCCCATAGGGGGTACAACCCAATAAGGGTTAGTACTTGTACCCACTTCATTCATAGTTCATTCATTCTCGTTCTCATTTTCACAATCTGAGCGCTTCCGTTCTCCCTGGCATTTTCATTTTAAGTTCCGATACTGACCCACCTGGCAAATGCACCATTTTCCCTATGCATGTGCGTTAGATACCTTTCAAACCTTTGAGAAACAAGCGTTTCCGTTCTCCCTGGCCCCACTTGCACTATAAGTGCGAAATGCCGGCCAGACTGGCCGATGCACCATTTTCTCTACACATGTGCGTTAGTTACCTTTCAAACCCTTACGTTCACTAGATTAATATATTTCCTACCTTCTATTTGAGTGAGACCACTAGATTCCGTGTACTATGCGAGATCTGAGCGCTTCCGTTCTCCCTGGCATTTGCATTTTAAGTTCCCATACTGACCGACCTGGCCAATGCACCATTTTCTCTATACATGTGCGTTAGATACCTTTCAAACCTTTTGAGCTGACTAGATTTATATATTTCCCACCTTCTGATCGAGTGAGATTGCTAGATTCCCTCTACTTTTTGAGAAACGAGCGTTTCCGTTCTCCCTGGCCCCACTTGCACTATAAGTGCGAAATGCCGGCCAGACTGGCCAATGCACCATTTTCTCTACACATGTGTGTTAGTTACTTTCAAACCCTTACGTTCACTCGATGAATACATTTCCTACTTTCTATTTGAGTGAGACCACTTGATTCCGTGTACTATGCGAGATCCGAGCGCTTCCGTTCTCTCAGGCATTTGCACTCTAAGTTCCCATACTGACCGACCTGGCCAATGCACCATTTTCCATATACATATCCATTAGATTCCTTTCGAACCTGATTAGCTCACTAGATTTATATATTTCACACCTTTTGATCAAGTGAGATCGCTAGATTCCCTTAACTTTCTGAGAAATGAGCGTTTCCGTTCTCGTTGGCCCTACTTGCACTTTAAGTGCGAAATGCCGGCCTGACTGGCCGATGCACCATTTTCTCTACACATGTGCGTTAGTTACCTTTCAAACCTTTACGTTCACTAGATGAATATATTTCCTACTTTCTATTTGAGTGAGACCACTTGATTCCGTGTACAATGCGAGATCTGAGCGCTTCCATTCTCCCTGGCATTGGCATTTTAAGTTCCGATACTGACCGACCTGGCCAATGCACAATTTTCTCAATACATGTGATTAAATACCTTTCAAACCTTTTTAGTTGACTAGATTTATATATTTCCCACCTTTTGATCGAGTGAGACCGCTAGATTCCCTCTATTTTTTGAGAAACGAGCGTTTCCGTTCTCCCTGGCCCCACTTGCACTATAAGTGCGAAATGCCGGCCAGACTGGCCGATGCACCATTTTTTCTACACATGTACGTTAGTTACCTTTTAAACCCTTACATTTACTAGATGAATATATTTCCTACTTTCTATTTGAGTGAGACCACTTGATTCCGTGTACTATGCGAGATCTGAGCGCTTCCGTTCTCTCAGGCATTTGCACACTAAGTTCCCATACTGAGCGACCTGGCCAATGCACCATTTTCCATATACATATGCATTAGATTCCTTTCAAACCCTTACGTTCACCAGATGAATATATTTCCTACCTTCTATTTGAGTGAGACCACTAGATTCCGTGTACTATGCGAGATCTGAGCGCTTCCGTTCTCCCTCGCATTTGCATTTTAAGTTCCGATACTGACCGACATGGCCAATGCACTATTTTCCATATAAATGTGCATTAGATACCTTTTGAACCTTATAAGCTCACTAGATTTATATATTTCCCACCTTCTGATCAAGTGAGACCGCTAGATTCCCTTTACTTTTTGAGAAATGAGCGTTTCTGTTCTCCCTAGCCCTACTTGCACTATAAGTGCGAAATGCCGGCCAGACTGGCCGAT